ACCACCACCGACTCTCGCACATCGTGAGTGAACGAGTGCACGAGTGAGTGAGCGAGTGAGTGAGCGTGTGGGCGAGTGACCGAGTGGGTGAGCCTGCGGGCGAGTGTGCGGATGAGCGAGTGAGCGACTGAGTGAGCGAATGAGCGAGCGACTGAGTGAGCGAGCGTGCGGGTGAGCGCGGATGAGCGTGCGGATGAGCGTGCGGATGAGCGTGTGAGTGAGTGAGCGAGCAGGTGAGCGAGTGGGCAAGTGGGTGAGCGTGCGGGTGGGTGAGCGTGCAAGTGGGTGAGCGTGCGGGTGGGTGAGCGAGCGTGTGGGTGAGCGAGCGTGTGGGTGAGCGAGCGTGTGGGTGAGCGAGCGTGTGGGTGAGCGAGCGTGTGGGTGAGCGAGCGTGTGGGTGAGCGAGCGTGTGGGTGAGCGAGCGTGTGGGTGAGCGAGCGTGTGGGTGAGCGGCGTGTGGGTGAGCGAGCGTGTGGGTGAGCGAGCGTGTGGGTGAGCGAGCGTGTGGGTAGCGAGCGTGTGGGTGAGCGAGCGTGTGGGTGAGCGCGCGTGTGGGTGAGCGAGCGTGTGGGTGAGGCGGCGTGGGTGAGCGAGCGTGTGGTGAGCGAGCGTGTGGTGAGCGAGCGTGTGGGTGGCGAGCGTGTGGGTGAGCGAGCGTGTGGGTGAGCGTGCGGGTGGGTGAGCGAGCAAGTGGGTGAGCGTGCGGGTGGGTGAGCGTGCGGGTGGGTGAGCGTGCGGGTGGGTGAGCGTGCGGGTGGTGAGCGTGCAAGTGGGTTGAGCGTGCGTGTGGGTGAGCGAGCGTGTGGGTGAGCGTGCGTGTGGGTGAGCGTGCGTGTGGGTGAGCGTGCGTGTGGGTGAGCGTGCGTGTGGGTGAGCGTGCGTGTGGGTGAGCGTGCGTGTGGGTGAGCGTGCGTGTGGTGAGCGTGCGTGGGTGACGGCGTGTGGTGAGCGAGCGTGTGGGTGAGCGAGCGTGTGAGCGAGCGTGTGGGTGAGCGAGCGTGTGTGAGCGAGCGTGTGGGTGAGCGAGCCGTGTGGGTGAGTGAGCGTGTGAGCGAGCGTGTGGGTGAGTGAGCGTGTGGTGGGAGCAGCGTGTGGGTGAGCGAGCGTGTGGGTGAGCGAGCGTGTGGGTGAGCGAGCGTGTGGGTGAGCGAGCGTGTGGGTGAGCGAGCGTGTGGGTGAGCGAGCGTGTGGGTGAGCGAGCGTGTGGGTGAGCGAGCGTGTGGGTGAGCGAGCGTGTGGGTGAGCGAGCGTGTTGGGGTGCGAGCGTGTGGGTGAGCGAGCGTGTGGGTGAGCGAGCGTGTGGGTGAGCGAGCGTGTGGGTGAGCGAGCGTGTGGGTGAGCGAGCGTGTGGGTGAGCGAGCGTGTGGGTGAGCGAGCGTGTGGGTGAGCGAGCGTGTGGGTGAGCGAGCGTGTGGGCGAGCATGTGGGTGAGCGTACGAGCGAGCGAATGAGCGAACGACTGAGTGGGTGAGCGTGTGGGCGAGCGTGTGGGTGAGCGAGCGTGTGGGCGAGCATGTGGGCGAGCGACTGAGTGAGCGAGCGTGTGGGCGAGCGAGTGTGTGAGTGAGCGTGTAGGTGAGCGAGTGAGCGACTGACAGAGCGAATGAACGAGCGACTGAGTGAGCGAGCGACTGAGTGAGCGAATGACTGAGTGGGCGAGCGTGTGGGCGAGCGTGCGGGCGACCTGAGGGTCTGTATGGGTGGAGTGGGCGGCTGGGCGTGACGGTGGACGCCGCCATAGAAGGGAGGGGGGTGCGGCCGTGGCAGCCCCTGCAGAGGCGACGGAGTGGGGGGCCCCCCTCCACTCAGTGGGGGGGGGCCCAGGGTTCTTCCCGGCAGGCCCAGCGGGGGGCCCAGGGGGGGGCCCAGGCGGATAAAGTGGCTGGGACTCAAGCGGCCCGCCTGGGGGGGGGGGGAGAGAGAAGGGAGGGGGCGGGGAGAGGGGGGGAGAGGGGGGGGGGGGGGGGGGGGGGGGAGAGGGGGGGGGAGGGGGGGGGGGAGAGGGGGGGAGAGGGGGGGAGGGGGGGGGGATAGGGGGGGGGGAGGGGGGGGGGAGGGGGGGGGAGAGACACACAAAGTGAAATACTCAGTCCATGCGTCCTGCGTCTGCGCGTGCGTCTGCCTGCGTGCGTCTGCCTGCGTGCGTCTGCCTGCGTGCGTCTGCCTGCGTGCGTCTGCCTGCGTGTCGCCTGCATGCGTGCGTCTGCCTGCGTGCGTCTGCCTGCGTGCGTCTGCCTGCGTGCGTCTGCCTGCGTGCGTCCTGCCTGCGTGCGTCCTGCCTGCGTGCGTCCTGCCTGCGTGCGTCCTGCCTGCGTGCGTCTGCCTGCGTGCGTCCTGCCTGCGTGCGTCCTGCCTGCGTGCGTCCTGCCTGCGTGCGTCTGCCTGCGTGCGTCTGCCTGCGTGGCGTCTGCCTGCGTGCGTCTGCCTGCGTGCGTCTGCCTGCGTGCGTCTGCCTGCGTGCGTCTGCCTGCGTGCGTCTGCCTGCGTGCGTCTGCCTGCGTGCGTCTGCCTGCGTGCGTCTGCCTGCGTGCGTCTTGCCTGCGTGCGTCCGCCTGCGTGCGTCTGCTCTGCGTGCTCCTGCCTGCGTGCGTCCTGCCTGCGTGCGTCCTGCCTGCGTGCGTCCTGCCTGCGTGCGTCCTGCCTGCGTGCTCTGCCTGCGTGCGTCCGCCTGCGTGCGTCTGCCTGCGTGCGTCTGCCTGCGTGCGTCTGCCTGCGTGCGTCTGCCTGCGTGCGTCTGCCTGCGTGCGTCTGCCTGCGTGCGTCTGCCTGCGTGCGTCCTGCCTGCGTGCGTCTGCCTGCGTGCGTCTGCCTGCGTGCGTCTGCCTGCGTGCGTCTGCCTGCGTGCGTCTGCCTGCTGCGTCTGCTGCGTGCGTCTGCCTGCGTGCGTCTGCCTGCGTGCGTCTGCCTGCGTGCGTCTGCCTGCGTGCGTCTGCCTGCGTGCGTCTGCCTGCGTGCGTCTGCCTGCGTGCGTCTGCCTGCGTGCGTCTGCCTGCGTGCGTCTGCCTGCGTGCGTCTGCCTGCGTGCGTCTGCCTGCGTGCGTCTGACCTGCGTGCGTCTGCCTGCGTGCGTCTGCCTGCGTGCGTCCTGCCTGCGTGCGTCCTGCCTGCGTGCGTCCTCTGCGTGCGTCCTGCCTGCGTGCGTCTGCCTGCGCGTGCGTCTGCCTGCGTGCGTCTGCCTGCGTGCGTCTGCCTGCGTGCGTCTGCTGCGTGCTCGCCTGCGTGCGTCTGCCTGCGTGCGTCTGCCTGCGTGCGTCTGCCTGCGTGCGTCTGCCTGCGTGCGTCTGCCTGCGTGCGTCTGCCTGCGTGCGTCTGCCTGCGTGCGTCTGCCTGCGTGCGTCTGCCTGCGTGCGTCTGCCTGCGTGCGTCTGCATGCGTGCGTCTGCCTGTGCGTCTGCCTGCGTGCGTCTGCCTGCGTGCGTCTGCCTGCGTGCGTCTGCCTGCGTGCGTCTGCTGCTGCCTGCGTGCGTCTGCCTGCGTGCGTCTGCCTGCGTGCGTCTGCCTGCGTGCGTCTGCCTGCGTGCGTACTGCCTGCGTGCGTCTGCCTGCGTGCGTCTGCCTGCGTGCGTCTGCCTGCGTGCGTCTGCCTGCGTGCGTCTGCCTGCGTGCGTCTGCCTGCGTGCGTCTGCCTGCGTGCGTCTGCCTGCGTGCGTCTGCCTGCGTGCGTCTGCCTGCGTGCGTCTGCGTAGTCGGGCAACCAACAACAACCCCCTAAACCACCACCACCACCACCGTAGCGGTGGTGGTGGTGGACGCCAGCAATGCCGTGGGGTCAATCCCACTGGGGTTGTGGCGTCGTCCCACAAGCTCGGTGCGTCGGTGGGTCGGTGGGTGAGTGTGTGGGTGGGTGGGTGAGTGTGTGGGTGGGTGGGTGGGTGGCCAGCACCACCACCGCACTCATCCACCCACCCACCCACCCACCAACCCTTTCACCCACCCACCCACCAACCCTCTCACCCACCCACCCACCAACCCTCTCACCCACCCACCCACCAACCTTCTCACCCACCCACCCATCAACCTTCTCACCCACCCACCCATCAACCCTCTCACCACCCACCCACCCACCCACCAACCCTCTCACCCACCCACCCACCCACCCACCAATCCTCTCACCCACCCACCCACCCACCCTCACCCCTCACCTGGCCAGGCCTCAGCAGGGCGACGTTCCTCTGCAGCTGGGCAAACGCCTGCGGGGAGAGTTGGCAGCCCTACACACAATGACACAGTGACACACACACACACAGTGACACAGTGACACACACACACACACAGTGACACACACACACACACAGTGACACAGTGACACACACACACACAGTGACACACACACACACACAGTGACACAGTGACACACACACACACAGTGACACACACACAGTGACACAGTAACACACACACACACAGTGACAGTGACACACAGTGACACACAGTGACACACACACACGACAGACACACACGCCGTGACACACACACAGCGACACACACGCCGTGACACACACACAGCGACACACACGCCGTGACACACACACAGCGACACACACGCCGTGACACACACACAGCGACACACACGCCGTGACACAGACACACAGTGACACACACGCAGTGACACAGACACACAGTGACACACACGCAGTGACAGACACACACAGTGACAGACACACAGTGACACACACGCCGCGACACACACACAGTGACACACACGCAGCGACACACAGTGACACAGACACACACAGCGACAGACACACACAGTGACACACACACACAGCGACACAGACACACACAGCGACACACACAGTGACACAGACACACAGTGACACACACAGTGACACACACAGTGACACACACGCAGTGACACACACGCAGTGACACACACACACACAGTGACACACACGCAGTGACACACACACACACAGTGACACACACGCAGTGACACACACACACACAGTGACACACACGCAGTGACACACACACACACAGTGACACACACGCAGTGAACACACACACACAGCGACACCGACACCCACACAGCGACACCGACACCGACACCCACGCAGCGACACCGACACACACGCAGCGACACCGACACACACGCAGCGACACCGACACACACGCAGCGAACACACCACACGCAGCGACACACACACACGCAGCGACACACACACACGCAGCGACACACACACACGCAGCGACACACACACACGCAGCGACACACACACACGCAGCGACACACACACACGCAGCGACACACACACACGCAGCGACACACACACGCAGCGACACACACACGCCGTGACACACGCAGTGACACACACGCCGTGACACACACACGCCGTGACACACACACGCACAGCGACACACACGCCGTGACACACACACACACACAGCAACACACACGCAGTGACACACACGCCGTGACACACACACAGTGGCACACACCCAGTGACAAACCATGACGCAGTGACACACCCACAGTGACACACACAGTGACACACACCATGACACACACGCCGCGACACACACGCCGCGACACACACGCCGCGACACACACAGCGACACACACGCAGCGACACACACACAGTGACACACACAAACAGTGACACACACCATGACACACACACGCCGTGACACACACGCGTACACACACCTGTGTACCGAGGCCGTGTGTGGGAGAGGCCCTGCCACCGTAGGGCATTGCAAGCCCAGGGTGCTGCTGCTGCTGCCGACGGAGGTGCGGAGGCATCACACGCAGAACCTGGACACACGCACACACACAGAGGTGGGTGGGTGGGTGAGTGTGTGGGTGGGTGAGTGTGTGGGTGGGTGGGTGAGTGCGTGGGTGGGTGTGTGGGTGGGTGGCCAGCACCACCACCACCGCACTCACCCACCCACCCACCCAGCCAGCCAGCCAACCACCCAGCCAGCCAACCACCCACCCAGCCATCCAACCACCCACCAACCCTCTCACTCACCCTGTCACCTACCCACCCACCCACCCAACCACCCACCCACCCAACCACCCACTCATCCAACCAACCACCCACCCTCTCACCCACCCACCCACCCTGTCACCCACCCTGTCACCTACCCAACCACCCTCTCACCCACCCACCCACCAACCCTCTCACTCACCCATCCATCCACCCACCCACCCATCCACCCACCCACCCTCTCACTCACCCACCCTCTCACTCACCCACCCACCCACCCTCTTACTCACCCACCCACCCACCCACTCATCCACCCACCCACCCACCCATCCACCCACCCTGTCACCCACCCTGTCACCTACCCACCCACCCTCTCACCCACCCACCAACCCTCTCACTCACCCACTCATCCACCCACCCACCCACCCACCCTCTCACCCACCCACCCACCATTCCAAACGAGAGCCCACCCACCCACATCTCTTACATGCTGCTGATGCTGCTGATGCTGCTGCTGCAGCTGTTGCATCAGCAGCTGCTGCTGCAGCGACGGTGGTGGTGGTGGGGGGGGGTACGTGGGGGGGGTCCCGAAGGCCTGGGGCTGTCTCAGTGGGGGGGCAGGGGGGCCCCCCACCAAACTCCTCTCCAGCTCCTCCACCATGAGAGGTGGAGCGCCACCACCACCACCACCACCGCCACCACCACCACCACCGCCACCGCCACCACACTCCATCGCATGAAGCAGCGAGCGGTCCTGAGGTGGGTGGAATTGTCGCATTAGTGGGGGGAACAATGAACAAGTGTAGGATTAGTGGGGGGGGGGAAGTGTAGGGTTAGTGGGGGGGGGGGAAGTGTAGGGTTAGTGGGGGGGGAAGTAAAGTGTAGGGTTAGTGGGGATGATTGTAGCATTAGTGGGGGGGGGGATCACTTGAAGGATCGGGGGGGGGGGGGGGGGGGGGAGTTGTTATAGGATCAGGGGGAGGGTGTTATAGGATCAGGGGGAGGGAGTTATAGGATCAGGGGGAGGGGTTGTTATAGGATCGGGGAAGGGGGCAGGGGGAGGGTGTTATAGGATCGGGGGGTTATAGGATCGGGGGGTTATAGGATCGGGGGGGGACAGCACTCACCACGAGTGAGGGGGGCAGGCTGTGGGTCAGCTGACTCATCACGTGGGCAGGGGGGGAGCCCCAGATGCTGGGCTGCAGTGGGGGAGGGGGCTACGTACACCACAGAGACACGTACACACACACAGAGACACACACACACACAGAGAGAGAGACACACAGAGACACACACACAGAGACAGAGACACACACAGAGACACACGCAGAGACACACACACACACAGAGACACACACACACACACACAGAGACACACACACACACACACAGAGACAGAGACACACAGACACACACACACAGAGACAGAGACACACAGACACACACACACAGAGACAGAGACACACACACACACACAGAGACAGAGGACACACACACACACACAGAGACAGACACACACACACACACAGAGACAGACACACACACACACACACACACACACACACAGAGACAGACACACACACACCACACACAGAGACACGCACACACACACACACACACAGAGACACGCACACACACACACACACACAGAGACACGCACACACACACACACACAGAGACACGCACACACACACACACACAGAGACACGCACACACACACACACAGAGACACGCACACACACACACACACAGAGACACGCACACACACACACACACAGAGACACGCACACACACACACACACAGAGACACGCACACACACACACACACAGAGACACGCACACACACACACACACAGAGACACGCACACACACACACACAGAGACACGCACACACACACACACAGAGACAGACACACACACACACACACAGAGACAGACACACACACACACACACAGAGACAGACACACACACACACACACAGAGACAGACACACACACACACACACACAGAGACAGCACACACACACACACACACAGAGACACGCACACACACACACACACACAGAGACACGCACACACACACACACACACAGAGACACGCACACACACACACACAGAGACACGCACACACACACCACACAGAGACACGCACACACACACACACAGAGACACGCACACACACACACACAGAGACACGCACACACACACACACAGAGACACGCACACACACACACACAGAGACACGCACACACACACACACACACACAGAGACACACACACACACAGAGACAGACACACACACACACACAGAGACAGACACACACACACACACAGAGACACGCACACACACACACACAGAGACACGCACACACACACACACAGAGACACGCACACACACACACACAGAGACACGCACACACACACAGAGACACGCACACACACACACAGAGACACACACACAGAGACACACACACACACACAGAGACACACACACACACAGAGACACACACACACACAGAGACACACACACACACACACAGAGACAGACACACACACACACACACAGACAGACACACAGAGACAGACACACACACACACACAGACAGACACACAGAGACAGACACACACACACCACACACAGACAGACACACAGAGACAGACAGACCACACACACACACACAGAGACACACACACACACAGAGACAGACACACACACACACACACAGAGACAGACACACACACACACACACAGAGACAGACACACACACACACACAGAGACAGACACACACACACACACACACAGAGACAGACACACACACACACACACAGAGACAGACACACACACACACAGAGACAGCACACACACACACACAGAGACAGACACACACACAGAGACAGACACACACACACACAGAGACACACACACACACACAGAGACACACACACACAGACACGCAGGACACTCACACACAGACAGAGACACACACAGACACACACACAGAGACACACAGAGACACACACACACACACACAGAGACAGACACACACACACACACAGAGACAGACACAACACACACACACACAGAGACAGACACACACACACAACACAGAGACAGACACACACACACACACAGAGACAGACACACACACACACACAGACAGACACACACACACACACAGACAGACACACACACAGGCAAACACACACGCACAGACACACACACGCACAGACACAGGCGCACAGAGACACACACGCAGACAGATAAACACACGCAGAGACACACGCACAGAGACACACACAGACACAAAGCTAGTGTCACACAACAGGGCTGTATAGACACACCTACACACACCCACACAGAAAGACAGACACAGGTGCCCCAGGTAGCATCACACAGGGCTGTAGGGGCAAGTGCTGCTAGTAACGATCACAAGTGGACAAAGATCCCCCGTGTAGCCTTAACAGACTGTAGGGGCAAGTGCTGTTAGCGAGCACCTATGAAGGCCGGAACGGTACACGAGGGGGTGGGTGGCCAGCACCACGCCCGACCGCCTTTGTCTCCCCAGTGCTAGCGATGTTCACTACACCACACCGCTACACCCAGGTTACTTATTAGAGGCTGAGTCGACCTAGGGGAGGTCCAGGACCGGTTCAGATAATCGTCACTGGTGTTGGCCGTGAGCGCGAATCGAACTCGGGTCGCCGGGTTCGTAGCGCAGCGTAGCGCTAACCACTACACCCACCGCTCCCCACACACACACACACACACAGACACGCACACACACGCGTAGACACACACAGACACACGTAGACACGCACACACACGCGTAGACCACTTCAAAAGGGTGGCGAGACATTAACCACAAATCATCCAACCACCATGACAACCACCACCACCACCGTCGTGACCACCACCACCACCACCGTGACAACAACCACTACCACCACCACCGTGACCCAACAACTAAAACCGTGAGAAGCCGCCCGCTATGTAGAAAGTCTGCGGCGTTCCCGCCACCATCACCAACCACAAATCTCAGGGTGAGAGACTCAGGGTCAGACTCGGGGAGACCGGGTCTCAGGGTGGGAGAGACTCAGGGTCAGACTCGGGGAGACCGAGTCTCAGGGTGAGAGAGACTCAGGGTCAGACTCGGGGAGACCGGGTCTCAGGGTGAGAGAGACTCAGGGTCAGACTCGGGGAGACCGGGTCTCAGGGTGAGAGAGACTCAGGGTCAGACTCGGGGAGACCGGGTCTCAGGGTGAGAGAGACTCAGGGAGACCGGGTCTCAGGGGTGAGAGAGACTCAGGGTCAGACTCAGGGAGACCGGGTCTCAAGGGTGAGAGAGACTCAGGGTCAGACTCAGGGAGACCGGGTCTCAGGGTGGGAGAGACTCAGGGTCAGACTCGGGGAGACCGAGTCTCAGGGTGAGAGACTCAGGGAGACCGGGTCTCAGGGTGGGAGAGACTCAGGGAGACCGGGTCTCAGGGTGAGAGAGACTCAGGGAGACCGGGTCTCAGGGTGAGAGAGACTCAGGGAGACCGGGTCTCAGGGTGAGAGAGACTCAGGGAGACCGGGTCTCAGGGTGAGAGAGACTCAGGGAGACCGGGTCTCAGGGTGGGAGAGACTCAGGGAGACCGGGTCTCAGGGTGAGAGAGACTCAGGGAGACCGGGTCTCAGGGTGAGAGAGACTCAGGGAGACCGGGTCTCAGGGTGAGAGAGACTCAGGGAGACCGGGTCTCAGGGTGAGAGAGACTCAGGGAGACCGGGTCTCAGGGTGAGAGAGACTCAGGGAGACCGGGTCTCAGGGTGAGAGAGACTCAGGGAGACCGGGTCTCAGGGTGGGAGAGACTCAGGGAGACCGGGTCTCAGGGTGGGAGAGACTCAGGGAGACCGGGTCTCAGGGTGAGAGAGACTCAGGGAGACCGGGTCTCAGGGTGGGAGAGACTCAGGGAGACCGGGTCTCAGGGTGGGAGAGACTCAGGGAGACCGGGTCTCAGGGTGGGAGAGACTCAGGGAGACCGGGTCTCAGGGTGAGAGAGACTCAGGGTGGGAGACAGTGAGAGACCGTGAGAGACTCAGGGAGACCAGGTCTCAAGGGTGAGAGAGACTCAGGGTCAAACTCGGGGAGACCGGGTCTCAGGGTGAGAGAGACTCAGGGAGACCGGGTCTCAAGGGTGAGAGAGACTCAGGGTCAGACTCAGGGAGACCGGGTCTCAAGGGTGAGAGAGACTCAGGGTCAGACTCAGGGAGACCGGGTCTCAAGGGTGAGAGAGACTCAGGGTCAGACTCGGGGAGACCAGGTCTCAGGGTGAGAGAGACTCAGGGAGACCGGGTCTCAGGGTGAGAGAGACTCAGGGAGACCGGGTCTCAGGGTGAGAGAGACTCAGGGAGACCGGGTCTCAGGGTGAGAGAGACTCAGGGAGACCGGGTCTCAGGGTGAGAGAGACTCAGGGAGACCGGGTCTCAGGGTGAGAGAGACTCAGGGAGACCGGGTCTCAGGGTGAGAGAGACTCAGGGAGACCGGGTCTCAGGGTGAGAGAGACTCAGGGAGACCGGGTCTCAGGGTGAGAGAGACTCAGGGAGACCGGGTCTCAGGGTGAGAGAGACTCAGGGAGACCGGGTCTCAGGGTGAGAGAGACTCAGGGAGACCGGGTCTCAGGGTGAGAGAGACTCAGGGAGACCGGGTCTCAGGGTGAGAGAGACTCAGGGAGACCGGGTCTCAGGGTGAGAGAGACTCAGGGAGACCGGGTCTCAGGGTGGGAGAGACTCAGGGAGACCGGGTCTCAGGGTGAGAGAGACTCAGGGAGACCGGGTCTCAGGGTGGGAGAGACTCAGGGAGACCGGGTCTCAGGGTGGGAGAGACTCAGGGTGGGAGACCGTGAGAGACCGAGAGAGACTCAGGGAGACCGGGTCTCAAGGGTGAGAGAGACTCAGGGTCAGACTCGGGGAGACCGAGTCTCAGGGTGAGAGACTCAGGGTGAGAGACTCAGGGTGGGAGACCGTGAGAGACCGGGTCTCAGGGTGGGAGAGACTCAGGGAGACCGGGTCTCAGGGTGGGAGAGACTCAGGGAGACCGGGTCTCAGGGTGAGAGAGACTCAGGGAGACCGGGTCTCAGGGTGGGAGAGACTCAGGGAGACCGGGTCTCAGGGTGGGAGAGACTCAGGGAGACCGGGTCTCAGGGAGACGTGAGAGACTCAGGGAGACCGGGTCTCAGGGAGACGTGAGAGAGAGCGAGTGCCCCACACCACAGCGCAGAGTCTTACCGTGAGCGACCTATTCATGAGTCCCCTCCAACTGCTCATGGAGCAGAGGCTATCCACAATCGCCGAGTCCTGGGACAGCCATCGTGCGCCAAGGGGCACGCACGTGGACACACACACGCACAACGCACGCGGACACACGCACACACACAAGCGAGCACGCGGACACACGCACACGAACACACGCACGCACGCGGACACACGCACACGAACACACGCACACACACAAGCGAGCACGCGGACACACGCACACGAACACACGCACGCACGCGGATGCACGCACGCACGCGGACACACGCACACACGAACACACGCACGCACGCGAACACACGCACGCACGCGGACACACACACACACGAACACACGCACGCACGCGGACACACACACACGCACGCGGACACGAACACACGCACGCGGACACACACACGGACACACGCACGCGGACACACACACGGACACACGCACGCGGACACACACACACACGGACACACACACACACACACACGCACGCACGCGGACACACACACGCACGCACGCAGGCAGACACACACGCACATAGACACACACACGCACGCGGACACACACGCACGTAGACACACACACACGCACAAAGATCCCCGTGTAAATCTTTCTTTGAACCTATCTACGCGACTTTACCCAAAGGCCGGCACTGCACGGCACGCACACGTACACACACACACACAACAAGCGCCATTCGCCACCAAGTGGCGGTGACGTCACCACGGCGCCTGTGCCAGGCTAGGTGCGCGTTGAGGCCACGTGAAGTGTCGAACGCCCGCTGGCGGGAGGTCACAGACCCAGCAGGTACCACGGGTCGACTGACTACGATGACCGGTAGATGCACCACCAGCTGTACCCCCCCCCCTACTGTGCCAACTTGCTGTGCTTTAGCCACCCGGCGCGACGCTCGTTGTTGTGAGCGTCACTCCTCCGCTGTTGTTGGAGGGCGACTGCCTCCAACTGCCCAGTAGCGTCCTTCACGAGCCTCTTCCACTGAGGCCGATCTTGACACCGCTGGTACCAGTCATTGGCAAGTCCACTCAGCTCCACGTCCTCCTGCACCACATCACTCCATCTCTTCTCTAGCCCGTGCCACCCACTCACTCACCCATCACTCCATCTCTTCTCTAGCCCGTGCCACCCACTCACTCACCCACCACCCACTCACTCACCCATCACTCCATCTCTTCTCTAGCCCGTGCCACCCACTCACTCACCCACCACCCACTCACTCACCCATCACTCCATCTCTTCTCTAGCCCGTGCCACCCACTCACTCACCCACCACCCACTCACTCACCCATCACTCCATCTCTTCTCTAGCCCGTGCCACCCACTCACTCACCCACCACCCACTCACTCACCCATCACTCCATCTCTTCTCTAGCCCGTGCCACCCACCCACTCACTCACCCATCACTCCATCTCTTCTCTAGCCCGTGCCACCCACTCACCCATCACTCCATCTCTTCTCTAGCCCGTGCCACCCACTCACCCATCCGTCACTCAACCACCCACTCACCCATAACTCCATCTCTTCTCTAGCCCATGCCTCACCCACTCACCCATCACTCCATCTCTTCTCTAGCCCATGCCTCACCCACTCACCCATCACTCCATCTCTTCTCTAGCCCGTGCCTCACCCACTCACCCATCACTCCATCTCTTCTCTAGCCCGTGCCTCACCCACTCACCCATCACTCCATCTCTTCTCTAGCCCATGCCTCACCCACTCACCCATCACTCCATCTCTTCTCTAGCCCATGCCTCACCCACTCACCCATCACTCCATCTCTTCTCTAGCCCATGCCTCACCCACCCACCCATCACTCCATCTCTTCTACAGCCCGTGCCACCCACTCACCCATCACTCCATCTCTTCTCTAGCCCATGCCTCACCCACTCACCCATCACTCCATCTCTTCTCTAGCCCATGCCTCACCCACTCACCCATCACTCCATCTCTTCTCTAGCCCGTGCCTCACCCACTCACCCATCACTCCATCTCTTCTCTAGCCCGTGCCACCCACCCACTCACTCACCCATCACTCCATCTCTTCTCTAGCCCGTGCCACCCACCCACTCACTCACCCATCACTCCATCTCTTCTCTAGCCCGTGTCACCCACCCACTCACTCACCCATCACTCCATCTCTTCTCTAGCCCGTGTCACCCACCCACTCACTCACCCATCACTCCATCTCTTCTCTAGCCCGTGTCACCAACTCACCCATCACTCCATCTCTTCTCTAGCCCGTGCCACCCACTCACTCACTCACCCATCACTCCATCTCTTCTCTAGCCCGTGCCGCGCCTGTTAAGCCCCTTCTACGCGGCCGAAGAGAAGCTGCTTAGGCATGCGGACGACATGACCCAGCCAACGCAGAACCACAGTGGAAACACACACACACACACTTCACCCAAACCTCACCACTAACCCACACACCATTTACTTATACACTCACCCCTCACCCACACACCACACCACTAACCTCACACCCCCTCACCTCCCACACCACTCACTCACACCACTCACCTCACACACCTCACCCCACACACCACACCCACTCTCACCCACACCACTCACTCACACCCCACACCACACACACAGTCACACACACACTCACAGACCCCCTGCAGACCTCACCTCCGTGAGCGGCCTTCGCACCCCGGCCCTGATCACTGCCGGGTCCTCCATCACACACTCACTCCACTCTCACCACATACCACACACCATACCACACCGCACACTCACACCACTCTCACCACATACCATATCACACACTCACACCACGTACCATACCACACACTCACACCACACTCCTCACTCACTCACTTCACTCACACTACCACTCCCACTCACCTCACACACACACACCACTCACCCACACATACCACTAACTCACCCACACCACACACCACTCACCCACACATACCACTCACTCACACCGCACCCACTCACACCCCACACCCCTCACTCACACACACTCACCCCACACACCACTCACCCCACACACCCCTCACACGCCCCTGCAGACCTCACCTCCGTGAGCGGCCTTCGCACCCCGGCCCCGATCACCGCCGGGTCCTCCATCACACTCATACCACTCTCACCACATACCACACCACTCTCACTCTCACCACATACAACACACTTGCACCACACACCATACCACTCTCACTCACACCACTCTCACCACATACCACACACTCACCCACTCACCCACCACTCACACCGCACCCACTCACACCTCATACGCCACTCACTCACACCCCTCACTCACACACCACACACCCACACGCCCCGGCAGACCTCACCTCTGTGAGCGGCCTTCGTACCCCGGCCCTGATCACTGCCGGATCCTCCATGTCGTCCTCCAGCACCAGCTTGCTGATGCTGTCCTCAAAGCCGCTCTCCGCCAGCGAGTCGTCCGCCCGTTCATCCCCCTCGCCGCCCTCACCGTCGTCCCCCTCATCCCCCTCGCACCCGACCCCGACCGCGACCCCGCCGGGCGAGGAACAGGGGGGCAACAACAGCAGCAGGGAGCTCTCGTGCGGCCAGGGATCGTCGCAGGGAAGGTGGTGGTGGTGGTGGTGCGGGTGGTGGTGGTGGTTGTGGTGGTGGTGCGGTGGGGGGTTGTACAGTGTGGGGAGAGAGAGCAACGGCGAGTCCTGGGAGGGTTCCCAGTCTTCGTCTGTGGGGAGGGGAGGGGAGGGGGGAGATGGGGGTGAGTCACTGATGCCACCAGCAGCAGCAGCAGCACCATCATTAACATCACCACCATCACCATCATTAACATCACCACCATCACCACCACCACTACCACCATTACCACCACCACCACTACCACCATTACCAGCAGCACCACCATCACCACCACCAGCGCCACCACCACCAGCAGCAGCACCAGCACCACCAGCACCATCATCATCACCACCGCCACCATCATCATCACCACCGCCACCATCTCCTCCACCATATCCACCACCTCCGCCACCGCCAGCACCATCATCAACCGTCAACCCCAACCACCAACCACCACCACCAGCACCCACCGCCATCAACACCACCATCTTCACCACCACCACCGCCATCAACACCCACCATCATCGCCGCCACCATCGCCATCAACACCACCATCACCAACATCACCGCCACCCCCGCCACCACCACCACCGCCACCACCACCATCACCACCACCACCGCCACCACCACCATCACCACCACCAGCGCCACCAGCACCACCAGCATCACCAGCACCACCATCATCATCACCACCACCAGCACCACCACCAGCACCACCTCCACCACCACCGCCACCACCATCAGCACCATCACCACCGCCATCACCACCGCCATCATCACCACCACAACCACTACCACCACCATCAGCACCACCACCATCACCACCACCACTGCCACCAGCACCACCATCAGCACCACCACCACCATCATCACCACCACCCCCACCATCGCTACCAGCACCACCAGCACCACCACCATCATCACCTCCACCACCATCACCATCACCACCACCACCATCACCACCCCCACCACCATCACCACCAGCACCATCACCACCACCACCACCGCCACCACCACCACCACCACCACCACCACCGCCGCCATCACCACCATCACCACCACAACAATCACCACCACAACCGCCACCTCCACCACCACCATCACCATCACCACCACCACCACCACCACCTCCACCATCACCACCATCACCACCAGCATCACCACCACCGCCATCACCACCGCCACCACCACCAGCATCATCATCATCACCATCGCCACCACCATCACCACCACCACCACCACCAGCATCATCATCACCACCACCGCCATCACCATCACCATCACCACCACCACAACGACAATCACCACCACCACCACAACAATCACCACCACAACCGCCACCTCCACCACCACAACCACCACAACCACCACCGCCACCACTGCCACCACCATCATCACCACCACCGCCACCACCACCGTACCAGTGGCCCCGGCACCACCAGCACCACCGCCACCACCACCACCATCATCACCACCAGCACCCCCACCACCCCCACCATCACCACCACCATCATCACCACCACCACCAGCACCACCATCACCATCACCGCCACCACCATCACCATCATCACCACCAGCACCACCGCCACCACCACCACCATCACCACCACCATCACCACCACCAGCACCACCATCACCATCACCGCCACCACCATCACCACCACCATCACCATCATTGCCACCACCACCGCCACCAGCACCATCACCGCCACCACCACCCCCATCACCACCAGCGTACCAGTGGCCCCGGCACCGAACGTGTCGTCGTTGTACTGGTCGATGTCTTCATCGTCATCGGCCATCGCCTGGAGGCCACCGCCTCCCACCTCCCCCCCCACCTCCTCCTCCATCACCTTCACGCACACAGACAAAGAGCCCCCGGGTAGCCTTCATGGAATGCTAGGGCAAGTGCTGTCCATCGCAGATGTACACAGACAAAGATCCACTGGATAGCCTCTAGCAGAATACTGGGGCAAGTGCTGTTCACCACAAGCACACAGACAAAGAGCCCCCGGGTAGCCTTCATGGAATGCTAGGGCAAGTGCTGTTCACAACAAACGCACACAGACAAAGAGCCCCCGGGTAGCCTCTAGCAGAATGCTGGGGCAAGTCCTCTCCATCACAGACACACACAAAGACAAAGATCCACTGGATAGCCTCTAGCAGAATACTGGGGCAAGTGCTGTTCACCACAAGCACACAGACAAAGAGCCCCCGGGTAGCCTTCATGGAATGCTAGGGCAAGTGCTGTTCACAACAAACGCACACAGACAAAGAGCCCCCGGGTAGCCTCTAGCAGAATGCTGGGGCAAGTCCTCTCCATCACAGACACACACAAAGACAAAGATACCCCGTATAGCCTCTAGCAGAATGCTGGGGCAAGTGCTGTTCATCGCAGATGTACACAGACAAAGATACCCCGTATAGCCTCTCGCAGAATGCTGGGGCAAGTGCTGTTCACCACCACAAGCACACAGACAAAGAGCCCCCAGATAGCCTCTAGCAGAATGCTGGGGCAAGTCCTCTCCATCACAGACACACACACAGACAAAGATACCCCGTATAGCCTCTAGCAGAATGCTGGGGCAAGTGCTGTTCATCGCAGATGTACACAGACAAAGATACCCCGTATAGCCTCTAGCAGAATGCTGGGGCAAGTGCTGTAGTCAGCGAGTAGCAGCTACACCCTGTGGCACGCTCAACTGCACGCTGCAAACACCAGGTTACCCATTCGAGGCCGAGGCGACCTAGGGGAGGCCCAGGACCGGTTCAGATAAATCTCTGGCGGGTTACGGTGATGATGGTCACCACACAGAGGGTCACGTGGGGTAGACACACACACAGGGTAGAGACCATCACCAGCAGTGTCAGTCTAGCAGTAGAGAGACCACGATGGTGATGATGGTCACCACACAGAGGGACACGTGGGTAGACACACACACAGGGTAGACACCATCACAGTGTCCAGTCTAGCAGTAGAGAGACCAGTGATGATGATGCCCACACAGAGGGACACGTGGGGTAGACACACACACAGGGTAGAGACCATCACCACCACCAGTCTAGCAGTAGAGAGACCACGATGATGATGGTCACCACACAGAGGGCCACGTGGGGTAGACACACACACACACACAGGGTAGAGACCATCACCACAGCAGTGTCAGTCTAGCAGTAGAGAAACCACGATGGTGATGATGGTCACCACACAGAGGGACACGTGTAGACACACACACACACAGAGGGACACGTGTAGACACACACACACACACAGAGACACGTGTAGACACACACACACACACAGAGACACGTGTAGACACACACACACACAGAGAGACACGTGTAGACACTTACACACACAGAGGGACACGTGTAGACACACACACACACACAGAGGGACACGTGTAGACACACACACACACACAGAGGGACACGTGTAGACACACACACACACACAGAGGGACACGTGTAGACACAACACACACACAGAGGGACACGTGTAGACACACACACACACACAGAGGGACACGTGTAGACACACACACACACACAGAGGGACACGTGTAGACACACACACACACACAGAGGGACACGTGTAGACACACACACACACAGAGGGACACGTGTAGACACACACACACACAGAGGGACACGTGTAGACACACACACACACAGAGACACGTGTAGACACACACACACAGAGACACGTGTAGACACACACACACAGAGACACGTGTAGACACACACACACAGAGACACGTGTAGACACACACACACAGAGACACGTGTAGACACACACACACACACAGACACGTGTAGACACACACACACACACACAGACACGTGTAGACACACACACACACAGAGACACGTGTAGACACACACACACAGAGGGACACGTGTAGACACACACACACACACAGAGACACGTGTAGACACACACACACACACAGAGACACGTGTAGACACACACACACACAGAGACACATGTAGACACACACACACACACACAGAGACACGTGTAGACACACACACACACACAGAGACACGTGTAGACACACACACACACACAGAGACACGTGTAGACACACACACACACACAGAGACACGTGTAGACACACACACACACACAGAGACACGTGTAGACACACACACACACACACAGAGGGACACGTGTAGACACACACACACAGAGGGACACGTGTAGACACACACAGAGACACGTGTAGACACACACACACACACAGAGACACGTGTAGACACACACACACACAGAGACACGTGTAGACACACACACACACAGAGACACGTGTAGACACACACACACACAGAGACACGTGTAGACACACACACACACACAGAGGGACACGTGTAGACACACACACACACACAGAGGGACACGTGTAGACACACACACAGAGACACGTGTAGACAACACCACACACAGACACGTGTAGACACACACACAGAGACACGTGTAGACACACACACACACACAGAGACACGTGTAGACACACACACACAGGGACACGTGTAGACACCACACACACACAGGGACACGTGTAGACACACACACACACACAGGGACACGTGTAGACACACACACACACACAGGGACACGTGTAGACACACACACACACACAGGGACACGTGTAGACACACACACACACACAGGGACACGTGTAGACACACCACACACACAGAGACACGTGTAGACACACACACACACACAGAGACACGTGTAGACACACACACACACAGAGACACGTGTAGACACACACACACATAGAGACACGTGTAGACACACACACACAGAGGACACGTGTAGACACACACACACACAGAGGGACACGTGTAGACACACACACACAGAGGACACAGAGGGACACGTGTAGACACACACACACACAGAGGGACACGTGTAGACACCACACCACACAGAGGACACGTGTAGACACACACACACACAGAGGGACACGTGTAGACACACACACACACACAGAGGACACGTGTAGACACACACACACAGAGGGACACGTGTAGACACACACACACACCACACAGAGGGACACGTGTAGACACACACACACACACAGAGGGACACGTGTAGACACACACACACAGAGGGACACGTGTAGACACACACACAACACAGAGGGACACGTGTAGACACCACACACAACACAGAGGGACACGTGTAGACACCACACACACACAGAGGGACACGTGTAGACACCACCACACACACAGAGGGACACGTGTAGACACACACACACAGAGGGACACGTGTAGACAACACACACACAGAGGGACACGTGTAGACACACACACACACACACAGAGGACACGTGTAGACACACACACCACACAGAGGACACGTGTAGACACACACACACACAGAGGACACGTGTAGACACACACACACACCAGAGGACACGTGTAGACACACACACACACACAGAGACACGTGTAGACACACACACACACACAGAGACACGTGTAGACACACACACACACACAGGGACACGTGTAGACACACACACACACAGAGACACGTGTAGACACACACACACAGAGACACGTGTAGACACACACACACACACACACAGGGACACGTGTAGACACACACACAGGGTAGACATCACCACCATCACTACCACCACCCCAGTGTCCAGTCTAGCAGTAGAGAGACCAGTGATGACCACCACACAGAGGGACACGTGTAGACACACACACACACACAGAGACACGTGTAGACACACACACACACACACACAGAGGGACACGTGTAGACACACACACACACACAGAGGGACACGTGTAGACACACACACACACAGAGACACGTGTACACACACACACACACAGAGGGACACGTGTAGACACACACACACAGAGGGACACGTGTAGACACACACACAGGGTAGACATCACCACCATCACTACCACCACCACAGTGTCCAGTCTAGCAGTAGAGAGACCAGTGATGACCACCACACAGAGGGACACGTGTAGACACACACACACACACAGGGTAGACACCACCACCACCACTACCATCACCACAGTGTCAGTCTAGCAGTGGATAGACCACGATGATGATGATGGTCACCACACAGAGGGACACGTGTAGACACACACACAGGGTAGAGACCATCACCACAGCAGTGTCAGTCTAGCAGTGGATAGACCACGATGATGATGATGGTCACCACACAGAGAGACACGTGTAGACACACACACACGGTAGACACCACCACCACTACCATCACAGTATCCAGTCTAGCAGTAGAGAGACCAGTGATGATGACCACACCACACAGAAGGACACGTGTAGACACACACAGGGTATAGACCATCACCACCACCATCATCAGTGCCAGTCTAGCAGTGGATAGAGCCTTGCCGGGCGAGTTTCAGTGTCGCGGCCTAGCGAGCCAAGTCCCACCACTAACAACCACCAGCAAGGCCTCAAGGCTTGGCGCTGCTGCTGCTACAACAACAACAACCTCCTCGCCCCCCGCGCCAACAACAAAACGTTGCTGCGGCCAGACAGGCGCGCAGGGAGAGAGAGAGAGACAAAGACGGCCGTGACGGGGGGAAGGGAAACTCACGGGACGGTCCCGTCCGAGCGTTAACATCGCCTCCTGACTCCAACCTAGGCGAGCGCCGCCATTTTAAAGTAGGGAGGGGGGGAGGGTTGCGTGGTGACGTCACGCTGCGTGGTGACGTCACCGCGTTGACTCACTCACCTCACGCACACCCTGCGTGGTGACGTCACCGCGTTGGCTAACCTCACGCACACGCTGCGTGGTGACGTCACCGCGTTGGCTCACCTCAAGCACACCCTGCGTGGTGACGTCACGCACACGCTGCGTGGTGACGTCACCGCGTTGGCTCACCTCACGCACACGCTGCGTGGTGACGTCACCGCGTAAGCTCGCCCACCCCTCACGCACATTCTGCGTGGTGACGTCACGCACACGCTGCGTGGTGACGTCACGCACACGCTGCGTGGTGACGTCACGTTAACATCGCCGCTGTCGAAACGCCTCCTGACTCCAACCTCGGCGAGCGCCGCCATTTTAAAGTGGGGAGGGGGGGGAGGGTTGCGTGGTGACGTCACCGCGTTGACTCACCTCACGCACACCCTGCGTGGTGACGTCACGCACACGCTGCGTGGTGACGTCACCGCGTAAGCTCGCCCACCCCTCACGCACACCCTGCGTGGTGACGTCACCGCGTTGGCTCACCTCACGCACACCCTGCGTGGTGACGTCACGCACACCCTGCGTGGTGACGTCATGCACACCCTGCGTGGTGACGTCACCGCGTAAGCTCGCTCACCCTCACGCACACCCTGCGTGGTGACGTCACGCATACCCTGCGTGGTGACGTCACGCACATCCTGCGTGGTGACGTCACCGCGTTGGCTCACCTCACGCACACCCTGCGTGGTGACGTCACGCACACCCTGCGTGGTGACGTCATGCACACCCTGCGTGGTGACGTCACCGCGTAAGCTCGCTCACCCTCACGCACACCCTGCGTGGTGACGTCACGCATACCCTGCGTGGTGACGTCACGCACATCCTGCGTGGTGACGTCACCGCGTTGGCTCACCTCACGCACACCCTGCGTGGTGACGTCACCGCGTAAGCTCGCCTACCCCTCGCGCACACCCTGCGTGGTGACGTCACGCACACACTGCGTGGTGACGTCTCCGCACGCCTTCCCCCCCCACCGCATCACCACAAACACCCTGCGTGGTGACGTCACGCACCTCCTGCGTGATTACGTCACCGCGTAGGCTCGAAGATACCTCACACACATTCTGCGTGGTGACGTCACGCACACGTTGCGTGGTGACGTCACATCGTATGAACCTCCAATAACAACAACCGCCATTCGCCACTCAGCGGCGGTGACGTCACCACGACGCTTGTGCCAGGCTAGGTGCACCTTGAGGCTGCCACGTGAAGTGTCGAACGCCCGCTGGCAGGAGGTCACGGGGCAGACCCAGCAGGTGCCACGGGTTGTACTGCTGTGCCAGGCTAGGTGCATGAGGAGGAGGTCACGTGGCAGACCCAGCAGGTGCCACGGGTTGTACTGCTGTGCCAGGCTAGGTGCATGAGGAGGAGGTCACGGGGCAGACCCAGCAGGTGCCACGGGTTGTACTGCTGTGCCAGGCTAGGTGCATGAGGAGGAGGTCACGTGGCAGACCCAGCAGGTGCCACGGGTTGTACTGCTGTGCCAGGCTAGGTGCATGAGGAGGAGGTCACGGGGCAGACCCAGCAGGTGCCACGGGTTGTACTGCTGTGCCAGGCTAGGTGCATGAGGAGGAGGTCACGTGACAGACCCAGCAGGTGCCACGGGTTGTACTGCTGTGCCAGGCTAGGTGCATGAGGTCACGTGACAGACCCAGCAGGTGCCACGGGTTGTACTGCTGTGCCAGGCTAGGTGCATGAGGAGGAGGTCACGGGGCAGACCCAGCAGGTGCCATGGGTTGTACTGCTGTGCCAGGCTAGGTGCATGAGGAGGAGGTCACGGGGCAGACCCAGCAGGTGCCACGGGTTGACTGCTGTGCCAGGCTAGGTGCATGAGGAGGAGGTCAGGGGCAGACCCAGCAGGTGCCATGGGTTGTACTGCTGTGCCAGGCTAGGTGCATGAGCAGGAGGTCACGGGGCAGACCCAGCAGGTGCCACGGGTCGACTGACCGAGATGACCGAGATGACTGGCTGATGCACCACCTGTGCCCCCTACTGTGCCAACTTGATGTGCTTTAGCCACCCGGCGCTCCGCTCGTTGTTGTGAGCGTCGCTCCTCCGCCCTCCGTTGTTGTTGGAGGGCGACTGCCTCCAACTGCCCAGTAGCGTCCTTCATGAGCCTCCTCCACTGAGGCCGATCTTGACACCGCTGGTACCGGTCATCGTCAAGTCCACTCAGCTCCACGTCCTCCTGTACCACATCACTCCATCTCTTCTCTAGCCCGTGCCGTGCCCGTTTAGCCCCCTCGATCCGGCCGAACAAAAGCTGTTTGGACATGCGGTGGCTGGGCATGCGGGCTACATGACCCAGCCAACGCAGCCTTGCCTGCCGGAGGAGCTCACCGATGGGACTTTGTTCAGATCTTTCAAGGATTTGTGAGCTCCTCACACAATCCAACCTGGTTAAACCCAGGATGGATCGTAGGCAGGCCAGCCTAAATGTTTCTAACCAGCGAAGATGTTCCATTAGGGGGGTCCACGTTTCGCAAGCGTAGAGAAGGGAGGGAATGACCGTGGCCGAGAAAACCTGAAGCTTCGTGCGGAGTGACAGACCAGGTAGCTTCCACACAGCGTTACGCAACCGATGAAAAAATAATGCCACTCGGCTGAGGCACCCCAGCCTCAAATATCCCCACTTTGTCCCGTTGTTCCGTCACTACGTAGTCCAGCAGATGTTCTTGCTTGGACCCGGCATGCATCCATGATGTTGTGTGGATGCGCCGATGCCAGAACTGTGTTGGTAATTACAAGCCCATGGGCTGCACAAAAGTCGAGCAGCCTCCTGCCGTTGTTATTGAGCTGATCTGGCCCATGCCTTCCAATCACTCCAGACCAGGTGCCAGCATCATGACCAACTCGGGCATTGAAGTCGCCCAACAAAGATGACTCTATCCCAAGGGGCCACTTTAGCTAGCACCTGTGACAGGAGGTCATTGAAGGCATCTGACTCATCGGCCTTGCCTGCATCCCTCCACGGATGTTTGTAAGTAACATAAGTAACCACAACCACCACTCCTTGCCTCCGGTTCATGGGAAGGCGAGCCCAAAGTAGCCCGGGGCTTACAGCTTCCCACACCTAACCGCCACGCTCCCACGCCCCATCCATTCTTTTGTTCAGAAGAAGAGCCACTCCCTGTTGTTTGGCAGTCTCCTGCCCCGAATAGAGGACTGTCCACCCCTCATGGTGGCAGGAGCCAGAACCGGTCCACCGGACCTCCTGAATGCCACAGAGACCCAGGCGGTACCGGTCCAGCTCCCGACAGAGGAGTGGCAGCCTCTCCTCCGCAGTGAACATTCCATGTGGCCACCCGCAGAGGTTTTTTGTTGTTTCTGGAGGAGCCCCGAGGGTAAGGATTCAGTCTCCTGGCTCCGCCAAATGGGTTTTGGCCAGGAGATGTCATAGATGCCAACCCACCCACCCATTCACTCACCCACTAACTCACCCACCCACACACCCACTCACTCATTCACCCACTCACTCACCCACCAACCCACCCACCCATTCACTCACCCGCTCACTCACTCACCCACACACCCACTCACTCACCCATTCAATCACTCACTCACACACCCACTCACTCACTCATTCACCCACTCACTCACCAACCCACCCACCCACCCATTCACTCACCCACTCACTCACTCACCCACACACCCACTCACTCACCCATTCAATCACTCACTCACTCACTCACCCACACACCCACCCACACACTCACTCACCCACTCACCTACTCACCTACCCACCCACTCACTCACCCACTCACTCACCCACCCACCCACACACCCACCCACTCACCCACCAACCCACCCACCCATTCACTCACCCACTAACTCACTCACCCACACACCCACTCACTCACCTATTCAATCACTCACTCATTCACCCACACACCCACCCACACACTCACTCACCCACTCACCTACCCACCCACTCACCTACCCACTCACTCACTCACCCACTCACTCACCCACTCATACACCCACTCACCCACTCACTCACCCACCCACACACCCACTCACTCACCCACTCACCCACCCACTCACCCATTCACCTACTCACCCACCCACACATTCACTCACCCACTCACTCACCCACTCACTCACCAACCCACACACCCATTCACTCACTCACCCACCCACCCACCCACACATTCACTCACCCACTCACTCACCCACCCACCCACACATTCACACACTCACTCACCTACCCACCCACTCACACACTCACCCACTCACCCACCCACCCACCCACATACTCACTTACCCACTCACCCACCCACTCACTCACCCACCCACACACTCACCCACCCACTCACCCACCCACCCACTCACCCACTCACCCACCCACCCACTCACCCACACACTCACTCACCCACTCACCCACCCACCCACACACCCACTCACTCATTCACCCACTCACCCACCAACCCACCCACCCATTCACTCACCCACTCACTCACTCACCCACACACCCACTCACTCACCCATTCAATCACTCACTCACTCACACACCCACTCACCCACTCACTAGTCACTCATTCACCCACTCACCCACCCACACACTCACCCACTTTCTCACCCACCCACCCACACACCCATTCACTCACTCACTCACTCACCCACCCACTCACCCACCCACCCACTCACTCACCCACTCACTCACTCACCCACCCACCCACACACTCACCCACTCACCCACCCACACACTCACTCACCCACACACTCACCCACCCACTCACCCACCCACCCACCCACTCACCCACTCACCCACCCACCCACTCACCCACACACTCACTCACCCACTCACCCACCCACCCACACACCCACTCACGCATTCACCCACTCACCCACCAACCCACCCACCCATTCACTCACCCACTCACTCACTCACCCACACACCCACTCACTCACCCATTCAATCACTCA